CCGTCTTTGCTCGACATCTGCCGCTCATCCGCCTCCTCCTCGCGCACGGAGCAGATCCAGGACTCAAGGACGGCTGGGCCGTCACGACTGCCATCTCGCACGGAGATTTCGACTTGGTGAAACTCTTGATGGAACCGGGCTCGGAACGAACCGACGAGCCGCTCTCGGACGACGTCGTGCTCGTCGCGAAAGGGTCGAGAACAGCCCAGAAGCGGCGGCGGGATAGCGACGGCGGAGGCGGCAAGAGGCGAAAGATGGAAGACCGGTGCGCGGCGACAAGCATCATGCTAGAGACGGCGGTCAAGTCGAAGCAGTGGGCCATCGTCGACTACCTCACCGCCAAAGGTGCGCCATTCGCTCCGCAATGTTCCATGGCTTGCTCTCGCTGACTCGCAGATCGCGCCTTGCATTCACACAGGAGCTAGACCTAGTCTGAACGTTCTGTCTATGCTGTAAACAGAGCATTGAAGACGAGCTGTGTCGGCGGGGTCGAGTTGCCCAATCAAGCAATTTTCCGACCCGTCCCGCTCAGCTCTTTCGGGGCAAGGCCGTAGGCGGTCGCGGCCCACAAGAGCTTGCTCTTTCAGGACCTAAGTCATCTATGTTGGCTTCTTCCGCTTTCTGCGCTGTGCGCCTTTCCCGTGCGCCATGCTTTCTTCTCCACCCTTCACTCCACGTCGGTACAGACGTGTGCCAGACGACTTCAAATGCCCGGAACGTTCGGTATCACCGACGTCCCAACGTACTCCGCTCCGCAAAATGTCGCCACCTGGGCCATGGGCAAGTGACTAACTGCTGCAGGGAGAGAGTTCTGCGGACGCTGACTCGCTCTCTCCGTGCACCAACCTCAGGACCAGCCCAGGCAGGCTACCTTACCCAGATCCTGCTCTACGGCATATTCCTCGCTCTTTTCTTGAATTGCTACACGTCGGGAGAGCTCGCCAGCACCGGGCTTCTTGGCCGAACTGCCTTGACGCTCTCGCTCACGCTCAATACGGCGTATACGGGTCTCTGCTTTTACGAGGCGTTCATATCGTCAGGTGTGTTGCTTGTACTCTGACAAGATCGGCAAAAGTGGCTGATGCTACGCCAACCGTTGAAAGTGTGGCAGAACCGGACATGGGCTTTCCTTTCGAACGGCGATCTACCTTGGAATGCGCTTCCTCTGTTGGGGGGCTTGATCGCTGTCGTCACCGAGGTCGCTCTGGCGTATCGCGCCGGCAAGGTGAGGGTCTGAGCACGCCTCGTCAACGGATGAAGCTGATGTCGACCGCCTTTGGCCTGTACGCAGCTGTTACCCTGCGCCTGGGCGAGGATCGTCTTTGGCGTGTGGATGGTGCTTCTGATATTGGCCGTTCTGACCGGGAGCATCCTTGCCTGCCTCGCTGGGATCTTTGTGAGCTTTGTTTCGCCCCACCTAGCTTCGGTCGTCGGAACCCGCTGACCGTCTCGACCGCTTTCCAGTACCATCATCAAGACGTGTTCATCATGCATTGGGCGTCGTCGGCAGCAGTATGGTTGTGGTCAAGCGCTATCGCGGACGTTTCAATTTCGGTCGCCGCCGCGTACAGTCTGAAGTCTCGAATTGCCGGCTTCAATCGCGAGACCGACTCCGTCCTTTGCACCCTCATCTTTATCGTGCTGCGGACAGCGGCGTACACGGCGATTATTTCCATCGTCGTAGCCGCGGTCGAGTCGGTCTACAAGGATTACCAGCTCCAGTCTTTCGTGACTGCCGCGTGAGTTTACCCTCTGGTATCTCTGTCCAGGTACAACACTGATTCAAGCCTTCCTAGACTATGGCTTCCATTAGGCGCCCTGTACGGTATCGCCCTGTTCACCTTTTCCGTCTCGAGTCGGCGTGTGATCGATTCGTGACTCGGCGTGGTCGACCTGCAAGAACCGCGAATTTTGCCGCCAATCGAACGCAAACCTGCGCCCGTGCCGGCGGCAGAGTGGACGACGTCGCATCACACGATCACGGTCCCGACTCTCTCGCGGCTTTCACGAGCGCGTTCCTCTGAAGGGAGCACGCCGCGGACTCCGCTCATTGTCACGGTGCATCAGCAACGGGAGGTCCGCATCGACGAAGACAACGAGAACCCGCTCAACAAGCAACGGCCTAGGCGAGGTTCGAGGAAGGATCATTGCGTGACGTCGCCGGTGTAGGGACTCAATTCGGTTCGGCAAAAATGTCGGGTCTGCAAGAGCATTGACCGTCGTTTTCAGCTTTCGGCAGGTGGTTGTTTGACCAGCTATAGATAGTTGGTAATGTGCAGAGCCCATTCAGTCCTGCACGTTCACTCCTTGGTCGCTATGGCCCGATGCATCGGAGACTCTGACCTTCCTAAAGTGGCCGCATCGCGTCCTGCTTTGCCAGTGTGTACGCAACTTGATGCGTAATGTTCAGCTGTACCTGCACTGTCCTTCACTACCTTGTAGGGGATGCTTGAGCATGCGCAGCTCCTCGTCTGCTTTCCGAACAAACTCGAAATCGCCACCGACGCGACCGCCACCGTCAGAAATTTGAGAGCTTCTGCATGTCGGAGCCGTCGCCACCGCCGCGTGAGACGGCCACGCGAGGAGATCGACAGATCGCCCGATCGACCGTGCACCGCCCCCTTCACCTTCTCAACTCCGCCTCTCTCGCCCTCGCATATTCCTTCCCTCGCATAGCTCTTGAGCGGTGCCGGACCATTCTAGCCGCGCATACTACTCTATAGCCGCCTTGGCTGCCGAGTCAGCCTCGCTTGTAGACTTCTGAGTAGACCTGGCGAGCTCTCGGGGGGTGAACGTCTCTTTCTTCCCTACGTTCACCTTTCCCGGACTCGTCAGGTATGCCTCCATTATCCCCAATCTCTCATATACTAGAATGTATACTTACGTTCACCTTTCCCGGACTCGTCAGACCTGCTACAACGTTACTGCATTCCTTTTCGTTGTTTCTCGCGGACGCGCCGCGGGACTACCTTACAGTGATGACTGCGGATACGCTACGAGCTACGAATGCGTGATCTTCCGTTCTCGGAGGAAGGGTTGACTGGCCACCTGAGGAGCGAAAAAGACGTGAACTCAGCACAGGGTGCACAATGCAAAAGATTTCAGGCGATAGATTTCAGGCGATACCTAAACTACACAAGCGCTCGACGCCTCTGCGCTACGTACGGACAAGCTGAGGAAAGGACGAACCGCCTCGAAAGACCGCAGCGCCACCGCGTTTGTGAGCGCGCGATTGTGCGAGTCGGCAAGCGCAGTGGCGATGCCGCAACCGAGGGTATGAGCTTGATTGTCGACGGTATACGCAATGAGATGCGAGTGCCAGCGACGGTCTTCTCCGACGCGTTCATCCCATCCGAAGACGGAATCCGTCGTCGAAGGACACGAGTCGAGGTGCGAAATGCGACGAGTGTATGTGCGGGGGTCTGTCGAGAAATCGGGTTCAGTCACTTTCTTGCAGACATCTAACCCAGTCTTGGCAAGAGGGATTACTGACCCATTTCACGCCCGTCGCAGAACTGCCCTGTTTCCGCCTTGCGCTTGCGGTTGCGATTCCGCCTCGACGTCCCCATCTCCGCTTCGTTCGCACCGGCGACTGCCTCCAAGGCTTCTTTCGCGCCCAAGATGAAGAGCGAGAGCCACGTCTCGATCTCGGACGTCTGTCCATCCAGCGCGAGTGCACCAATCCTGGCCTCGAACAGATCCGCATTGATGCTCTGCATCTCTCTGCGCGCCCGAAAGTTGGCAGACGGCCGTTCTGGCTCCGGCTCGTCAATGATGTCCCTGTCGAGGTAGTAGTACCAAGCCAAGTAACTGTGCGAGATGTTGGAACTCAAGATCCCGCGCATCTTCTGCGGGTTCAAACCGGCGTCACCCCAGGTTGGCGCCCGAGCAGGAATTTCGCAGTGGATCTACTCACGCTCAGTAATCCCGAATCAGCCCGCGGGAATTGCCGATAGAGCGTGCGCGCGTACAGGTCGTGGAGGACCGCATCGCCCACGTACTCGAGTCGGCGATAGGACGAGAGCTCGTCCTCGCGCCTCAAATTGCCCGTTCGGCCAGCCGCGGCAGGAATGTGCTGTGCTGTAGTACGCGCCTGACGAGCCAACTCTGCGTCGTTCACGGCTGGCAGCGGTGGCAGGTCGAGCGTTTCGAGGGGCAGCGGTGGCAGATCCCAGTTGAGGCGGGCGGGCGGAAGCGGACGTTTCGAGGCGGAAGGCACTGACATGCAGTCGACGAGAGCAGGTGTTTGTACCAGGCTGTCTCCAAGACTAGCCTGTCTGTGCGCGCTGAGCGAGAGCAACTTGCAGCCTGAGCTAGCTCGGAGATTGCTGAATCGCCGGGATCCTTGCACCACCGCGGTATCCCGGGCATTTGGCGCACGTTGCGGCCAGGGGTGCCCGGAGCTCGCTCTCTCGACGATGTCCCATTAATTTCCACACTCGCCCTACTCGCCAGCTAGGCAGCGCGTGAGGAGATACAATAGGTTTGACTTGCCACCTGCTTTGCTTGCAGGTTGTTGTGCAATCACAAGCTGCCTGCTTCTTGCAGTTATTGCTTCATCGTGCTGACAAAGATCCAAAGAAGATGATTATTCACTTGCACAAGGACAATCTAGGGCGGACAAACGAGTTCCGCAGACCTTCTCACACCCGACACGGTCCTGTAGGTTCTCCTGGGTCAATACGCCATTGTTTATACATCAGCTCTCGCATTGCTGTTGTATCTTTCTTCTCGGTGTATAGTCTACCAGCGCTTCCAGCAGCATTGTCCACAGATTCCATTCGCAAGCAGGACCTTCTCAATCGCACGCCGCCACAGCAGCTCAAGTTGCTCAAGCCCGCATTCGTGCCTGTTTAGGTGTGTAGTGAGCTCCAGACGGACTTGTTCCGTATAGCTTGGTACAATTGCTCTGGCTGAGCCTCTTGATTTCTCTTGGGCTGGAAAAAACGCAGACGACCCGACAAAAAGCCAAAAGATTTGCCGTACACTCGAAGTGACTTTGGAGAACCAGGGAGTCGAACCCTGCACCTCTCGCACGTTGTAAACATGCTAAGCGAGCGCTCTGCCGATGAGCTAGATCCCCGTTTTGGTGTCGTCGCAGGCAATCCTTGCAGACCTGACAGTAAATGCCCCCGCCGCCGCTCTGCTCCTGGGGCAACACGAACGCACAGCTGCTTGACTCGGCTCCCTGCTGTCGCCATGAGCTGCTCGTCAAGCGCTCCCTCACTACGCCAAAACTTACTTTGCAGAGCAGCCGCTCGGTGGCGTCCAGACGGCCAAACCGGCGGCAAGCGGGGCACAGGACCTTGCACGGCCGCCGGAGCGAGCACGAGTGTACGACGAGCTAAGTTACTAGTGGCGGCTGAAGAGCACGGCCGGTGTCATGCTGCCAGCTTCTCAGACGAGCGACAAGAACAGACCGCTCCCTTTCCGAAAACAGCACGCTGCTACAGAGTCCGGGCTCTTTCCACGGCCCTGAGCACCGACAGGTCTGTGCATACCAATATTTGCTGTATACGCAGTGAAAAGATGGCGCACAGAGCTGTATTCCGTGACGCGGAACTTCGAGGAAGGCCCGAGTGGCAAATGTCCAGGCACTTTGATCGGCACGCTGGACTGTTGAGTCCCTACTCTACTGACGTTTCATATGCCGCCGAAGCCCCTTCCTAGACATCTGCATCTCAACCAGAACAGTTGAGACAGCAAAGTCTTCCTCGAGTCGCAAGGCCACGCACTCTGCGCCCGATATCGGTATTTCGGGGCGCTCCTCTGCCGTCCCCGGGTTGGTCATATCAGCGGCGATGTGACCTCAGTGTACTGGTCAGACTCGTCGTCTGGAATGGAGTGTCTACTCGAGTCGCGCCTTTCCAACTTTAAAGTGCCGAACCATCACTTGTCGCAGAGCTACCGTTCCGCATCGGAAACGCGAGCACTCATCTGGGCGACAGTTGTGAGTTAGGAGGAGTCTATGAAGGACTGCTGGGAAACGAACTCGCAGTTCTTACCCGCTTCGAGGCTGTAGGCATGTCAGCTCACGGCCGCCGCCGGGTGGACCTTCTCAGCGTTCCGACCCTATGCGTTGGACCGGTTACAAGGCTGCGGACCGGACAGAGACACCTTTTGGGGGTCTACAATAGCTGTACTTCCTGATGTAGCAGCAAGACTCACCATAGTGAAGCAGGTCGGCGCGTTGCTCGTGCTGACCTGCCCGCAACTTCGCAATTCCGTCTAAGGACGAAGTCAAGCGAGCTACAGCTCGGATGTCGCGAGGCTCGCTTAGAATTCCGCACACGAAAGAAATGAGAATACACAGGTCTCGGGACGTCGGAAGGAGTACACAAGCAAAAGCATGAGCACGGTGTATTCGGAAGGCAAATATAGTCCAAGCTCCGGCGGCGGGTGCTGAGGAGGAGGTGAGAATGTGTAATCCCACCCACGAATGGACTCGTTGGCGTCTTGATCACAGTACAGGATGTGTCCGCGAGTACCGCCCTGTGGTCACTGCTTGAGGGATCCCGACGCGAAAGACTGGCACTTGTCGCGGTGACCCTTTCATCCTTCACGACCTCCACTTGGCGATGCAGCGATCTCCGTTTCGGCCACAGATATGGGAAGGAGGTACAACACGATGCAGGACAAGTTCTGAATGCGATCCAACGCCGAGGGCTGGTCCTGAGCTGCCCTTGTTCGAGAATCGAATGTGATCAGTTTTCTACACCCCTCTGCTACCTCGCGATACTACCCAGACGATCCCTGTTCTCATACACACATTACAGAGAGCGATGTCACCATACAGTACGAACCCGAACTCGCTTGATGACCGGCGTCACAGGAGCTGCCGGCGGGATCGGCCGTGGCGTCGCGCTCCAACTCGCCTCGCGCGGCTGCCAGCTCGTCCTCGGCGACGTGTCGTCCCCGGAGGCGGGAGACAAGGTCGTGGCCCACATCTGGGCCACGGCTGAGAAGCGGGGCGTACCTCCGGTTCGCGTTCGCGTTCGCTTTGTCCGCGTCGAGATCTCGAACGAGACCGAGGTCGAGGCTTTCGTCGCAGCAGGCGTCGCCGAGTTCGGAAGGATCGACGGGCTGGCTCATTGCGCCAGTATCAACCCGTTGAGGAAGATCTAGCACGAAGTCGATGCGAGCTTTTTCGACCAGGTCGTCGCCGTCAACCTGCGCGGAACTTTTCTCGTCAACAAGTACTTCACACGCGCCGTTATGGAGGCACAGGAGAAAGGCCAGCAACCTCCGAAAGGCGGCTATTCGGTCGTCCATCTCGGGTCAAACGCAACCGAACGTCAACCTTGACCGCAGATGTGCGTTTGTTTCGCATGCGCCTGTTTCCCCGCAGCTTCATCTGCCGCAGAGATGACCTGTCTAGTGCGCCGCGAAACACGCGATTCTCGGTGTTGTCACAACGGCAGCTTGCGAGTATGCTGAAAATAACATTCGCTTCAACCCTGTCGCGCCCGGTACGTTTCGAGCGTCTCAGCTGGAACCGCCGGTCGGAAAGCCTTGTTTACACTCTGCGTGCAGGTCCGGTCAAGACGCGGATGCTGCTCGACCTGTTTGACCAAGGATTGCCGGTCAACCAAATCACGGACCCGGTGCCAATGAAGCGGATGGGCGAGCCTGAAGAGATCGGCCACCGCGGTCGAGTTCCTCCTCGGACCCGCTGCGAGCTTTGTCACCGGTAGCATGCTGTCCATAGATGGACGCATGACGGCGTAAGAGGGTAACGTTCGGCAGGAATATCATTCACCTCGTTGTTGTACCGCTCCGGCGGCCGTCGCGCGCGCCACTCAACTTCTGCCGGAATCTGCCCCGCTTGCCACCCCTTTGGCCGTATGGTCGCCACCGAGCGGCGGCTCTGCAAAGTTTTGGCGTAGTGAGGGAGCGCTTGACGAGCAGCTCATGGCGACAGCAGGGAGCCGAGTCAAGCAGCTGTGCGTCGTGTTGCCCCAGGAGCAGAGCGGCGGCGGGGGCATTTACTGTCAGGTCTGCAAGGATTGCCTGCGACGACATCAAAGGGGGATCTAGCTCATCGGCAGAGCGCGAAGCTGCCCTCCCGCCATATTTTGAGAGGTGCTACGGAGAGCGATACACCCCGTTCCAGCTAGCCATTGACGTCTGGCTCGCCGCACCATTGTGTGCATCAGCTCGGCGCACAGCTGTTCCTGACGCCTCGAGCGAGTGCCTGTGGGCTGCCGACTCGCATCCTATTTAGCAAGTCGGTCGCTGTGTAGGAGAAGGAAAAAGTTTTCTTCGAGTCGCCGGCCGCGCGCAGTGAAGCTGAAAGCAGGCGACGGGCGGTGCAGGAGCACCGGAGCGAGCCAGAAGGCTGGCCGAGCAGCAGCGAACCCGCAAACACATCACCCCGAGCGAATGAGAGCCCCAGACTAGAGTGAACGGGAAGTGAACAATGGGGAACGAAAGACGGACGGCGAGTCGAAAGAAGGAGCAGCTCGCGGTTGCCCGGACACGCTTACCGCGCACCGCCGAGCAGAGCTTACCAGTGACCTTGCGAGGTAGATACACCCTCGAACGACCCACTCGACCCAGTCGCTCTTTCTACCCCGAGCCAGTTCGTCGAGCCGGCTCGCCGCCTTAGCCGATCCCACGACAACTTTTCTCGCCTCGCCGCTAGCGCACTCGAGGCAGTTCCGAGCCTAGCCAGACACGCTGCGCAACCATGTCGACGTGGGCCAAGCTCGCTGCCAACCCGCCCGAGGGCGCACCCGACGCTGTCGCTGCCGACAAGCCAGCCGCCGCCGTCGAGCAGCCTTCCGCTTCGACGTCGTCAACGACGACACCGCCTCCAGGAGCAGCACAGCGCAGGCAGTCGACATCCAAGCCCAAATCGAACGGCCCTTCCAAGGCCTCGACGTCCGACAACTGGCGCGCCTCGGCAAAGGCCAACACTGACACTTCGGCGCCATCTGCTGCCCGCTCGTCCGACCCGCGCGCCTCGACCGCAAAGCACAAGTCAGAGAGTGCAAGGACGACGGACGACGACGGATGGGAAAAAGTGACCAAGAAGGAAAAGGCTGCGCCCGCCAGCACGCAGTCGTCGCGGGGGAAGAAGCAGGCCAAGGAAGGCGGCGGCAAGAAGGGCGACGCTCGGAGAGCCGGCCACGAGTCGAGCGGAACCGAAGACAAGGGCAGCAAGGGGGCAGCGTCGGTATCCAAGGGTGCCACTGCAGTCAACGGCGCGCCGACGAAGAAGGACGCGCCGACAACCGCAGTCCGGCCGTCGCTGAAACCGGCACAGAGCTGGGCAGACGACGACGGTTCGGGTCGGTTGCCCTCGCCCAATTTCGGTGCCACGGCTTCACCGGCGGCCGTGCCCGTCGCCGCTCCACTCGGGGCGGACGACCACGCCGTCGAGAACCTCGCTTTGCCCCCGTCCGCTACCGCGTCCCGAACCGATTCCCCGCCGACTCTGAATCCTGACGCATCTTCGAATCCGGCCGTCGAGATCACTCCGAGTGACAACCAACCCGCCGCCGCAGAGGCCAAGCCGGCCGTTCCCAAGGTCAACGTCTGGAGCGTGCGAAAGGAGCAGCTCGCCCAAGCCGCACCCGCGACGGCTGGTACCGAAGGCAAAGAGCAGAAAGACCCCGCACCGGCGGCCGCCAAGGAGAAGAAGGAAGAGCAGCCGAAGAGCAGCAAGAAGGACGAGGCACGGCGGTCCCAGCAGCAGAAAAAGTCGACCACAGCGAACGAGCCGACAGCATCATCAAAGGGAAAGGCGGCGACGACCGGTGCACGGCAAGGCGGTAGCAGCGCTGGCTGGTCGTCGACTTCGACGAGCGTGAAGCAGAAGGGGCCGGTGGTCGTGGCGGGCGAGGACGCGACGAGCTGGCCCGCTCCGGTCGAGGCCGTCAAGGAGTTGGACGAGGCGGCCAAGGCGAAGCAGGACCACGAGAGCAAGCCCAAGGCGGTCAAGGCGTCTGGTACGCAGCAACAGCAGAAGAAGAAGAAAGGTGCGGTTCGAAGTGCCGCTCAGAACCGGCGATCGGGAGAACTGACTTTTTTTGCACGATACACAGGCGAGAAGAAGTGGGTCCCGCTCAAGACCGAAAT